CTAGCTGGGGCAACAGAACAAGACTCTGTCTCAAAAAAAATTTAAAACAATAAAAAATAAAACCTTTTTATCTTGAAAGAATTTGAGATTTAGAGGAAAGTTGCACAGTTAGTGTGGTTGGACAGGAAATGGGAGATGTTAGTTAAAGGGTACAAAGTTTCAGTTAGGCAGGGAGGAGTAAATTCTGGTGATCTATTGTACAGCATGATGACTATGGTTAATAATAATGTATTGTAAACAGTCCTTAAAATTTGCTAAGTAGATTTTTAAATGTTCTTGCCAAGGCTGGGTGTGGTGGCTCACACCTGTAATCCTAGCACTCTGGGAGGCTGAGGTGGGAGGATTGCTTGAGCTCAGGAGTTCGAAACCAGCTGGAGCAAGAATGAGACCCCGTCTCTACTAAAAATAGAAAAAATTAGCTGGATGTGGTTGGTGGTGTACACACGTAGTCCCAGCTACCTGGGAGGCTGAGGCAGGAGGATCCTTTGAGCTAGGAGTTGAGGTTGCTGTGAGCTAGCCTGGTGGTACTGCACTGTAGCCTGGCGACAGAGCGAGACTCTGTCTCAAGAAAAATAAATAAAAAATAAATGTTCATGTCACAAAAAAAGTAACTTGATGGATAGTTATATTAGCTGATTTAATCATTCCACATTGTATACCTATATCAAACATCACAATTGTACACCATAAATACATACAATTTTTATTTGTCAGTTCAAAAATAAAAAACAGAATTCTATATATCTTCCCTAATGTTAACATCTTACATAACCACAGTGCAATGACCAAAACCAGGAAATTAACTGAACTACAGGCCTAATTCAAATTTCACCAGGTTTCAACTAAATGGCCTTTTTCTGTTCTAGGATCCCATCTGAGATCTCTTGCATTGCATTTAGCTGTCACGTCTCTTTACCCTCTGTCAGGCTGTGCAGTTCCTCGTCTTTCCTTACTTCCATGACCCTGACTTTTAGAAAAGTACTGGACAGCCGTTGTATAGATTATCACCAGTTTGAGTTTGTCTGATGTTTCATAATGAGATTGAAATTATGCATTTTGGGCAAGAATTTCCCAGAAGTAATGTCGTGTCCTTCCCAGCATGTCATATTAGGAGTTACAGGATATCACTCAGTCTCATTAGAGTAAGATGGTGTGCCAACTTTCTCCACTGTGAAGTTGCGTTTTTTTCCCTTGTAATAAATATCTTAGGGGAGATGCAAATATCCTGTTTCTCCTCCAATTTTCACCTACTGATTTAGCATCCACTGGACCTTGCCTACACTTATTACCGTGGTGTTTGCCTAATGGTGCTTTCGTTTTTCCTTTATTCCTTGTGTCTTTAATTGGAATTCTTCTGAGGAGGCCTGTCTTTCTCCTCCATTTTTTAAAATTAGTCCACTATTTATTTATATCGGTATGAGCGCATGGATATTATTTTATCCTATGTGTTATAACTATTATTATTTATTGCTACCATTATATTATTTGTTGCTCACATTGTTCCAGCTGTGGCCATCGTGAATCTCTTCAGTTTGGTTTCTCTGTCCTTTCAACATGTCCCATGTTTTGTTTTTTTTGAGACAGAGTCTTGCTTGTTGCCCAGTCTAGAGTGAGTGCCGTGGCGTCAAGCCTAGCTCACAGCAACCTTAACTCCGGCTCAAGCAATCCTTCTGCCAGCCT